GCGTTTTGGCTGTGGAAGCGCTTCGTTTGTGAGGCGTTCTTGTCTGCGTCTGAGAACTTAGTTGGGAGCCGGTGTTTACACCGGAGCTCCGGTTCGGGACCAGTTCTTGGATGTGGGCGTTTTTGGCCGTGTAGGTCAGGGCGCAGACCGCCACCATCAGTACCGGTAGCAGCTGTTCACTTGTGTCAGAGGCGGCGGAAGCCCCTCCGCCACCCTGTCATTGGATCTGTATGGGCGAGGGAAAAGGGGTGCAGGCAGGTGAACCAGTTTTCCCAGAGGCGCTGCAGTACGGGGTAGGACTAAGTCCGGAGCGGCGTCCTAGTGACCAGGCTACACCCGTTTGCATCTTGGTGTAGAGGTCGGAGTATACGTATCTACACGGGACCTTCGATAAGTGCATGCCAAATGCGTTCTGAGCAGACTATACAAGAATTTACAATTTTGTTTTTTGCACCAAAATAAACTCATAACGTTTATTGCCTTTCTTCCCCCCATGGGCTTTAAGTAATCGCATTATGTGTGTCAGTTGAATTAGTTGTGTTCTGATTTAGTTTGTGTTTTGATTTTTCAAAAATAGGCTCAGCCATTTAGTGGCGAGGTTCCAATTGTTAGAGAGTTTTCTCCTCCGGTTATGAATACAAAACACGTTTACTACAGAATACCTAGAAAACAGTAAATGTTCATGCAATTTCATGATGGACATGTTATTTATGTCTTTTTGTTATTGCTGTCTTTCCTGCTAGATTATGATTCCTTTGAGAAAAATGGTTGGTACAGCCAGTCTAATAAAGATAGCTATGATTATTGTAGTAATGATAATATAAACGGCAGTCACCACAGAATTCTTTTCTGGCCTAGCTTACAGGATTAGTGCATTCTAGATATTCACTAACTCTTTCTTGCACAAGTGAAAGAATAGAAATAACCAGTGTTTACTATTTTGGAATATTCCATAAATTGTATTTATATAATATGCATATTATGTATATGCCCCGTATTGTATATTACAAATGTATTGTTATTTTGTGTTGTAACTTGGAGAGGATATAGGAAAAGATAGTTTAAAAATACAAAGGTATTTATTTACACAAAACATGGAACTTTGTGCAAGGACTGCAGGTATTTCCTATTAGATACTTGGACTGAGTGGGCAGAAATTGTGTCTTGAATTAGTTGTTCATTTCCAGAGCTTGGTATACAGTAGGTACTCAAAAAATGTCTCCAAGTGACTGAATGAGTACCTTTAAGTTGGTTTCTATGTCAGTAGGTGGTTGTATCTGGATTGTTTTTCTATTAGACTTGAGAATTGTTTTCTCTCCCTTGTATTTGGGAATATATAATGCATATGTGTTACACACCTGTATAGTCTAGGTTCCAGGGCATTGTCTTGGTCTACCTTTCTAGCCACATGCTCCCCTCACCCTGTTCGCCCTACCGTATTAACTACTCCCAGTAACTGGCCATGCCGCATGTACCTCAGGCCTCTGAGTTTCCCATGTGTCGTTTCTATACCCTTGAATTTTCTCATTGGCGTATTTGTCTGCCAAATTCCTAAGCATCCTTTAAGGCAGGTATTGCAGACTTAATGCCTACAGGGGCTAATCAATTTACAAAAATGGGTGAAGTGGATTTGGGGGGAGATTGTACAGAAATGGGAAACACTGCTCCCTCTGAAAGGGCCCAACAGCTATTTGGCGCCCACTACTTATAACCAAGTAGAATGCAGCCCAGGAATGTTCAGATCTTTCAGGTTACAGAGGAAGATGGAAACCTGTATTTTTATATGAGATCTGATTTTTAAATGTGAAGAAGTAATAAAAAATTTAAACTTTGTACAGGCCAAGTAAAAACATCTGTAGTCTGAATTTGACATGCAGATTCCTAGTTCATGACCTTGCTCTAGGCTTATTTCAAGTACATTGTTCACGAATCACATTCCCTGATTTTAGTAGACTTCTCTGTTCTTGGACATTTTTGTGTACACCTCAACTATAGTGCTGCATCTAGTCTGTCTTAGTTGTTAATATGTCTCCTTTTCCAGTACATGAGAGATATTTTGATTGCATAGATTGAGCCTAATTATGCACTTAGTACATGCGAGTATAAAATATGTTTATAAGTACTCAGGCATTTAGATATAGATGAGATACATTTATTTCTCCGCTAGTGATTTTTAGTTATATTGGAAACTAGTATTTGCTAGAGCTCTACTTCTAGAAAGAATTGAATTGGGTAACATTGCTATTTTAAAGCTGATCTGATGTAAATCCTATCTGATGGCTTAAATTTCATAAGCTTTCTGGAAAAAGGTAGGAATAATTACTAGAATTTATTTAAAGGACAGTCCATGAAAGGAAAAATTGATAAACTGGACTTCATTAAAAGTAATACTCTGTGGAAGAAGCTAGGAAGACAGTGAAAACGTAAGCTACAGAGTGGGATAAAATATTTGTAAACCACTCATTTGACAGAGGACTTGAATCTAGATTTTATATGGGTTATGTAAGATCTCTTGAAACTCAGTTAAATCTAATTTGAAAATGGGCAAAAGATGTTCATAGACAATTCACAGGAGAAGATATACAGATGGTAGATGAGCACATGAAAAGATGTTCAGCATCATTAGCTATTAGAGAAATACCACCTAAAGCCACAGTGAGTGGTAGCTTTGGCAGCCCACATACTAACACTAGAAATTAGTATGACCTGTGTGCAAAAATGACATGGAAATTTCATGAAGCATTCCATCTTTTTGTTAATGATGATATGTTGTAGTCTTGAAAAACATAGGGAAGGTGGATGTTGAGTGTGTTTATCACACACACACACACACAAAAGATAACTGTGTAAGGTGAAACAACTGTTAATTAGCTAAATTTAACCATTCCACAATGTATAAGTACTTCATAGCATCATGCACATGGTAAGTATATTATCTGTCAATTTAAAAAAGTCACAATGAGATACTATCACATGCCTTTCAGAATTTAAAAAAAAAAATCAAATAAAAATTAGTGATAGCACTAAACTTGGCTAGAATGCAGAACAACTTGATTACTCATACAGTGTTGGTGGGAGTGTGAAATGGTATACTTTGGAAAAGAGTATAGCAGTTTCTTATAAAATTTAATATATACTTACTGTATGACCCAGTGATTGTATTCTCATTCGTTTATCCCAGAGAACTGAAAGCCTATGTCTCTATTAAAACTCATTCATGAACTTTCCTAGTTGTTTTACCCTCAATAGCCCTAAACTAGAAATAGCACCTTGATATCCTTCATTGGGTAGAGTTAAATTGTAATACATCCATACCATGAAATACTACTTAGAAATAAAAAGGAACTATTGATACACACAACTTAAATGGATCTTAAAGGAACTTGGTGAGTGAAAAACGTCAGTCTCAAAAGGAAATGTACTATATGATTCCATTTATATAAAATCTTGATATGACAAAATCAGAGTTAGAGAACAGATTAGTAGTTGCTCTGAGTTGAAAGGAGTGTGAAAAGTGGCAGTGGGTAAAAAAGGATAAACGGAGGATCCTCATAGTTGAACTGTTCTGTGTCTTGATTGTGGTGGTGCTCACATGCACTTATAGATGTCATAATTGTTATACAGCTAAATATGAGTATATGTAAAACTAGTGAAATCTGAATAAAATTGGTGGATTGTATCAATGTCAACTTCCTGTTTGTAATAGTACGGTTATGTTAGTGGTTAATCATTTGGGGAAACTGGATGATGTGTATTGGATCTCTGTATTATTTCTTATACCTGCATGTGAATCTAGGAAAATCTCAAAATAAGTTTAAATGAAGTAATCTATACCAAAATGCCTATATAAATAATTTTCTCTTGGGGCTTTATTTCATCAGGCAATGGTCTAATCATGTCGGATAAAGATGATGACAAGACTCCAGTGATAACCGGAGAAACCCCCATCCTTGAAGATGAAAATTGTGAGCCAGCCAAGAATTCTGAGTCTCCTGACCAAAATGCCAAGCCAGAGAATAAGTCAGAACCTGTAGCATCTACTCGGAAAAGACCCGAGGCCAAGCCTTCCAACGACCTGGAGACTTCAGAAGTTCTCCCTGTTCAGGTATCACAGGTAGCAAGCAAAGCAGAATGTCTGTTAAAATACTGAGTTTAGAAAATGTAGGGGTTAAAAGGAATTTGGAATCAATACCAGTTCAAGAGTGCCCTTCTTTTCGTTGTAGCCATAAAATACAATTTTATTAGTTTTAAAGTGCCTTTATGAGTACTTGCCTGTGCCATGTGGTTCTTAAGTGCCAATAATATGCATCTGTTAGCTAAGCAAAATGTTTCTTTATAAAGCCAAATAATTTGTGTTTGTTCATCCATACTTTTGGCTAATAATTAGATATCTCCTCTATCCATTTTGATTCTCTTCTAATTCTTCCATTTTCCTTTGTGTTTTTGGTTTCCTGCCCACTGAAAAACATAGGAGACTGTTTCCAACCCCCAGACTGGATGGGGCTACTGGGGGAGCTGGGGCAAATCCTTACTCTCCTCAGCCTCAGCTACAGTAGCCACAGTAGGAAAGGTCACCAGTCATTTTGTTATTTTTTTTAAACATTTTATAATATTATTTATACATTTAATTGCTGTACATCATTTAGATTGTGAAGAGACTGACTTTACCCAGCATGACGTATACCTCAGTCCAGCCCAGTTGAGAATACTATACATGTTCTCATCAACAGATAATAAACCATATCTGTGTCTCACAAATGTCTTACCTCTATTTTTTCCCCCAACATTTTGTTATTTTTGATGTGCATTTGGCTACAGATCTGTGTTACAAAGAGAGAGAGAGAGAGAAGTGGATTTGCCCTAGCTTTGGTCACATGACTTTAAACTTCCAAGTTTACTCAAAGGCTTTATCGTTTAGAGAATGCGTTAGTAATGATGGGCTGGTGTATATTGCCACTAGAGTTTGCAGCATTTCCTCATTAGAAGGTTGAAGGCTGGCAATTATCAATATAAATCTATTCTTTGGCCATGATGAATGAATTTTATTTTTTTGTAAAGAGATAGTCTTGTGGCTATAAATTATTTTAAACATTCATAGGTTTGATTTTTGGTTTGTTTCTTCAGTTTTGTGACTAATAGCAAAAAATTGTTATCATTTTTTTTCTCATTAGGACAAGGTATTTCAAATGTCATCGAGAAGGCAGAGACTTCTCTAGGAATTCCTAGTCCCAGTGAAATTTCAACTGAAGTCAAATATGCTGCAGGTCAGTATGTAGCAACATCAAGACCTAGAATTATGAATTGAAGTGGAACAGTTGAGCTCATTTTTCAATAGATATTTATTATCTTGTCCTTAAGACATCATGGGACCATGGTGAGAAAAAGGATTTAGACTCTTTTTTTTTTTTTTTTTTCAAATTTTTACTATAGGATGCCTGTGCTTACCAGAGAGAGAGAGAAAAAGAGAGCCATAATGAGAAAGCATCCCCCAAGGAGCATGGCAATGCCACAATTATCTCTCCTCTGTTTTCTTCCTAGGATTTTGGGCATGCATGCAAACTGGTATGTTTTTCTTTTTTTTGGAGAGGTTTTTGCTATAGGGCGCGTGCGCTCGCCAGTCAGAGATAGAGAGACAGAAAGCGAGAAATCACCCCCCGGGGGGATGGCCACGCCACAACCCCTTCTCCTCCATTCTCCTCTCAGGCTCTTGGACACACACGCACACGTGCCCGGTGTGAGTTTAAGCCACCAGGTCTGGGACTTGAACCATGGTCGACTATGTGGGAGTCCAGCGACATAGCCATTATGCTAACTGCTGGTCCCCAAACTGGTATGTTTTTGAAGTCTCTGGGTCCAGGATTTGAATCACACAGTCAGTTATGTGGGCTCCAGCTTCCTTAAGCCACATTACTTACTGGCTCAGGGCTTGTAATTTTTTTTTTTTAATTTAGTTTTTTTTTTTTTTACTTTTTTCTATAGAGTTTATATGCTGATGGGGGGGGAGGGGAGGGGAGGAGAGGAGAGGAGAGGAGAAAAGTGAGAAATATCCCCTAGCAGGGATGACCACAGTTCCTTCTCCTCCATTCACCTCTTGGGATTTTGGACATGTACCTCGTGTGATTTTCTTTCTTTTTTTTCTTAGAGAGGCTTTTGCTATAGGGCGTGTGCACTTGCCAGACAGATAGAGACAGAGAGCCAGAAAGCAAGAAATCACCCCCAGTGGGGATGGCCACACCGCAGTCCCTTCTCCTCCATTCTCCTCTCAGGATCTTGGGCACACACGTACATGCGCCTAGCGTGAGTTTAAGCCACCGGGTTCGGGACTCAAACTGTGGTCGACTATGTGGGAGTCCAGCGATACAGCCATTACGCGATCTGGTTTGGGACTTAAACCACAGAATCAACCATGTGGGATATAGTGCCTTAACCCCCATACCACCTGCTGGCCCAGGATTTGCAATCTTTAGCTACCAGTTAGAAGTCTGTGTCCTTTAACTGCTCACCTGTCTCTTCACTTTCCACATCTATGAGATGGGATGTCATTTGGTATCTCAAATAACTGTTGTTAATGTTAAGTAAGGTCATGAATCTAGAATGTAAAATTTGCTCAGCATTTTGCTTGGCATAATTGAGTGAATGATTAATAATAATCAGCTGAATTTGAGTCTTTTATGCCAAAAGAAACATATTTTAATGTATTAGTTTGCAGACTGTATTTTGCGTGTGTGTGTGTGTGTGTGTGTGTGAGAGAGAGAGAGAGAGAGTGTGTGTGTGTGTGTGTGTGTGTGTAAGAATTTTTATAAGGAGAGGTTTAATTCTGGAGGCTTGCCTTGATCAAACACATACCTGTTCTCCCTTATACCATAAAGGACAGAAATTATAACCGGGATAAAGAGGCCCTGAGATGAGAAAATAGAAAGCTTTCCAGAGTCTGATTGTGTTTTTCTGTCTCTCAGGGACCTTATTTCTCTTACTCTCACTCCTCTTTTCTAATCTATGGCTTTATTCTCTCAGAGTAGACTGACTTTCTCTGCTTTTCTTCCTCAGCTGCAGTTTTATATTGGAACCTGGTGTAAGTGCCCATCAGAGACTATGTGCCATCAGTTGTTTCCACATCTTAATTCTGGGGGTGGAGGGGAGAGAGAGAGAGAGAGAGAGAGAGAGAGGTGGATTTGCCTTAGCTTAGGTCACATGTCTGTGGGTCAGTTATGGTCAGGAGATAAGATCACAGTGTATAATCACAGCTCTAAAGGACTGTATGTGAATTGGCGTTCTCAGTGATGTCTCCATCAGTTAAATTACTTTGTCTGTAAGTGACAGAATACGTAGGGATCAGCAGTTAGTGTAATGGCTATGTTGCTGGACTCCCATGCAGTTGACCGTGGTTTGAGTCCCGAACCTGGTGGCTTAAACTTGGGCTGGGGACCTGGGCGTGTGTGCCCAAGATCCCGAGAGGAGAATGGAGGAGAAGGGATTGCAGCGTGGCCATCCCCCCTGGGGGGTGATTTCTCGCTTTCTATCTATCTGTCTCTCTCTGTCTTTGAGGTGGGTGATTTCTCGGTTTCTGTCTCTCTGTCTCTCTCTGTCTTTTTGGGTGAGCACATGCGCCCTATAGCAAAAGCCTCTTAAAAAAAAAAAGAATGTGTAACTAAAAGTGAGCTTATTTTTTGTTTCAGAGCTAATTTAGTGATCCCTTTATGTCAGGGTTGCCCTCTTTCCTTTTTTTTTTTTTTTTGGTGGGGGGAGAGGTTTTTGCTATAGTGCTCGTGCACTCACCAGAAAGACAGAGACTGAGAGACAGAAAGCGAGAAATCACCCCCTGGGAGTATGGCCATGCTGCAATCCCTTCTCCTCCATTCTCTTCTTGGGATCTTAGGCATGCACACACACGTACCTGGTGTGAGTTTAAGCCACCGGGTCTGGGGCTCGAACTGTGGTCTACTATATGATAGTCCAGTGACGTAGCCATTATGCCATCTGCTGGTCCCCAGTTTTCTTTATGATTGCCAAATAAGAGTGCAACTCTAAGTATGGTGTTCTGGAACAACTGTTCAAAATCAGGAATTACATGGATGGGGAGTATCATTTCTCCTCATGTGCTTGGTTTTCCAGTAGGTACCAGCATATTTTTTTTTTTTCAGACCTCTTTGGCCAGAGCAAGGTCTCACATTCATCCTGTAGCAGCAGAAAATGTGGGAGAGTGAGTTTAGGACATTATCAGAAACCTTCATATCAGGAAACGGATTAGCAGACAAGGAAAAAGGGAGTTGGAGGTGGCTTTGGATAGTAAACAGTAGCATTTCCATAACGTCTGTAAGTTGGCACCAGGGTGTTTTCAGAAAGGCTTTGGAAAATGAGTGAACATCTGAAGAGTAAGCTATTGATAGTGAGATAACTAGAATTAATGTCTTACAAGGCACCATAAGTTAAAGGAATTTTGGATATTGAGTCTGAAAGTCTCAAGAAGGGCAATTTAGAGAATATGCTGGTTCTCTTCCCATCTCTGAAACTAGCATGGAGAAGATGGTTTATTGTTTGTAGTTCATGGGGAACTAGGACCACTTAGTGGAAGTTATATGGACTTAGATTTTAGGCTAAGGTAGAATTTAGCAGTGAAAAGTTGCCAAGCTAGAATGGACTGACTACCTGTTAGTAATAAGCCTCTCTCATCTTTTAAAGTTCCCAAGGAGAGAGGTCAACTTCTTTGCTAAGACTACTATAGTTAAGATGTGTTTTTTTAGAGCTTTAAGGTAAGCAGCGGCCCGCAGTGGAAATCTTTTGATCATTTTTTAGGGATTTTGTTGTCTGCTTTCCTTTTGTTGGCAGGTAAAGTAATGCAACTTAAATTAACCATCTAAAGCTTGCTTTTAAGTTAGCCTAAGGTGAATCTAGAATAGTCTTACTCTTTAGTTGTAGTTCATGTGCTTTGAGAGATATGTATAGTTCTGTTTATACTGTGTAATCATAGTACATTATCTTTATACAGAGATAGAGTATTTCCTAAATTTATGTACATAATTCAGATATATAAATATTTTTACTTACCCTAAGAAAACTCCCCTAAGCCTCTTTGTAGCCATTTCCTTTCATCTACTCCCAGCTCTTGGCAACCACTTATCTGTTTCAAATTGCCCAAAGTATTATATAACTGGAATAAAGTGGTATATAATCTGTTTATGTATTTATGAATATAGTAGTAGTAGTAGTTCGGGACCAGCAGCTGGCGTAGTATTAGTAGTTCAAAAAACTGGATTTTATTTTTGAAATAAAATGGAAAACCAGTCTATTACAGCTTTTGTTTTAAACTAGATAAATGGTGGGACTAACAGTTGGTGTAGTGGTTATATCGCTGGACTCCCCTGTAGTCGACTGCAGTTTAAGTCCAGGCCTGGTGGCTTCAAACTCATGCCGCGTGTGTGTTTGTGTGTGCCCAAAATCCTGAGTGGAGAATGGAGGAGAAGGGATTGAGGTTTGGTTATCTTCCCAGGGGGCAATTGCTCACTTTCTGTCTTGTTCTGTCTCTCCAGTGAGTGTATGCAGCCTATAGTTAAAAAAAAAGAAAAAGAAAAAAGAAAAATGATTTAAAATAAAACAAAAAGGTCTGGGCTGGCAGGTGGCATGGTGGCTAAAGGCACTGGACTCCCACATGTGTGACTGTGGTTCAAGTCCTGGATCTGGCTGCTTGCTTTCTCACTTTCCTTCTCTTCTCTTCTCTTTCTGTCTCTGCTCAAATTAAAAAAAAAAAAGGTAAATAAAATTAAAAAAAAGAAAGGCAAAACAAAAAGGGCTAAGGCCTTGAGTGAGTGGAAGCAGGATTTAATTTTTAAAAACTTATATAAATGTTAATAAACCAAACTAATTAGGGGATCTTTCCTTCATACTTACACAACCTTTCCTCCTTGTAGGAGACACAAATGCCAAAGAGAGTGGAAACTCCTCCCCAGTGGCTGGGCCTTTTGGTGTATTCTCAACCATCTCTACTGCCGTTCAAAGCACAGTGAGTAAAAAAGTGCAAGTTGGCTTGCTTTCTTCCATTGTTCTAGTGGGTGTGTGGTATCTTTCTCCTCTTTTCCTTGAGAAGCTGTGGGGACTGAGAATTGACGTAAGAGAGTTCTTATAACTGAAGAGTTCATATAACTGAAGATCAATGAACTTTGGTTTTAGGGGTGGAGTGAGAACTATTAGAAAACTTACTTTAAGGAAATGAAGGGAGTAAAGGATAAAGAGTTATAGAGAGGTTGCTATACAATATTTTATGGGCTAGGAATTCTGAGTTTGGTGACCCTAGAAAATATCTCTGCTTTACAAAATATTTTTCTCATAATTAGACCTTTTAGGTAAACTGAAAATGTGATCCTTATGATAGATATGTATTAAAATATGTAATAGATGATTAGAAACATTTTTTAAAGGACTATATAGGAAGCTTAATGTCTTTCTTAATGAGGATGGGTAACTAATACTTTTTTACTTTACCTTTTTTTTTTGGAGAGGTTTTTCGCTATAGGGTGCGTGCACTCACCAGACAGACAGAGAGAGACATAGAGACAGAAAGCGAGAAATCCCCCCCCAGGGGGGATTGTCACGCCGCAATCCCTTCTCCTCCATTCTCCTCTCGGGATCTTGGGCATGCACGTACACGCGCCCGGCATGAGTTTTAAGCCACTGGGTCCGGGACGCGAACTGTGGTCAACTACATGGGAGTCCAGCGACATAGCCATTACGCTAACTGCTGGTTCCCAGAAAGCAAGCCACCAGGTCCAGGACTCGAACTGTGGTCAGCTATGTGGGAGCCCAGCACCCTTAGCCACCATGCCACCTTCTGGCCCCTAGTGTTACTTTACCTTTTTATGGAAGTATGACATGCTACAGAAAAATGAAATCGTAAGTGCTTGGTTTGAATTTTCGGTGTGAAGACATCCAAACTGAGAATCATTGCAGTACATCAGCAACCCCCTATACATACACATGCATGCACACTTGTGCCCTCTCCCAGTCTTCTGTGCCTTCTAACTCCCCACTCAGATAACCGTATCCTGACTTCTACCACCTTAGATTAATTTGCTTGCTTTTCAGCTTTATATAACTGAAATTATATAGCAAATCTTTTGTATCTGACTTCTTTCACACAATGTTTGTACAGTTTATTCATGGTACAGTTTGAGTGGCATATTTCTTTCTTTTTCTTTTGCAGTATTCCATTGTATAATTATGCCACATTTTATTTACTCATTCCACAGTTCATAAGCATTGGGTTAGTTCCCAGTTTATAGCTATTACAGTTAGTACATCTGTGAACATTCTTGTTCATGTCTTCTGATGAGTCTTTACACATTTCTTTGGGTATGTAGCCAGCAGGAGAATTACTGGGTCAGATAGCTATAGTAGACACTGACAGTTTTCTAAAATGGTTATATTTTTTGACATTCTCATAAGCAGTGTATATTTTAGTTGCTCCACATTCTTGCCAGTGCTTGGTATTATCATCAGCCACTGCTTTTATATAATCAAACGTGACAGGTGTATTTTCTGAATATTGGTGTAATGATGTTGCATTTGTTTCTTATCAGCGGGGGATTAGATGCCTTAGAATTTATTGGGAAAAAGACAATGGATGTAATAGCTGAAGGGGATCCTGGATTTAAAAGAACCAAAGGTCTGATGAACCGGAATTCTACACTGTCTCAGGTACTGTTGGTCTTTACCTGTTTTTGTTTTGATCTGAATTTTTGCTTGAGTTAACCTGGAATCTTGTCAGTGTTTCCTTTTCAAGAATTTTTTATGATTTTATTTATTTTTTTAAATTAACACTTTCTTTTTAAGAGCGTGAGAGTTCAAGTGCTTAGGAAAATGCCCAACTCTTTTTCCTTTCTCTGTACTCTCCGTATGAACCTCCTGTTAGTGCAGTGTAAAATGTTAAACCCTGTCAGAGTTGTTTATTGGATTAATGTTCTCTACTTTTGGAGAAACACCTGGTTCCTTGGGTGTTACTTATACTGTCTAGGATCAAATTCTGTATGATCATTTTCTTCCCTGCAGCTCCTGAGCCTATCTGTCAGATTTGAATTGTAATGCCAGAAATGAAAGCTCAGTACGCTACACTATAACCCGTCTTAGTTTTGCTTCCCTCCAGTCTCAGAACTTACCCTCCAGCTCTCATTACTTGCTACAGTGTAATGCTGCCATCTCTTTTTAGATTTTACGAGAGGCAAAGGAGAAAGAAGAACTACGGACCTCTGCTGATGTTGCCATGGAAACAGATAAGAAAACTCATTATGGGCTACTCTTTGATGAATTTCAAGGCCTCTCACATCTAGAAGCTCTGGAGATGCTTTCTCGTGAAAGTGAAATAAAGGTAGTTCCAAACCTAAAACTTTAACTGGAAAAAGTCTCCAAGCAAACGAATACTGCATCATTTACTTTCTCTCTGTGTAGTTGGAAGATGAAATAATTTCAGATGGAGGTTTGAGACTATCTGGAAATATACCAAAACAAAGAGAAAACTAATGTTTGAACTAATTGTTAGAAATAGAATGAGTCAACTTTTGTTTATTTATTTTTTTTTGGAGAGGGTTTTGCTACAGGGTGTGTGTGCTCGCCAGACAGACAGAGACAGCGAGAAATCACCCCCCAGAGAGGATGGTCACACCGCAATCCCTTCTCCTCCATTCTCCTCTTGGGATCTTGGGCCCGCACGCACACATGCCCGGCATGAGTTTTAAGCCACCGGGTCCGGGATGCGAACCACGGTCGACTACATGGGAATCCAGCGACATAGCCATTACGCTAACTGCTGGTTCCCAACTTTTGTTTATTTAAATTTAAAAAAAAACAAACAAAAAATGAAAGATTTTAAAAAAGACTTAGTGGCACATTGGTTATTTTTCCTTTACCTTGATCCTTCTGATCCTCCTTCTTTTTCTTTCTTTCTTTTTTTTTTTTTTGGAGAGGTTTTTGCTATAGGGCGCATGTGCTTGCCAGCGAGACAGAGACAGAGAGACAGAAAGCAAGAAATCACCCCCCCCCCGCCCCCGCGGGGGATGGCCACGCCACAGTCCCTTCTCCTCCATTCTCCATTCGGGATCTTGGACATGCACTCACATGGGCCTGGCATGAGTTTAAGCCACCGGGTCTGGAACTCGAACTAAGGTTGACTACATGGGAGTCCAGCAACATAGCCATTACGCTAACTGCTGGTCCCTTCTTTTTCTTTCTTTTAGGTTTCTTTAAGCTATCAAGAAGTTTGTTTACATAAGCTACCAATTTGTATACAGTTACCTGTTAGTTTTTAATTGATTAATAATTTTTTCAGCACATCCCCATCGTTGAGCACTAACACTTTCTAGACATTTTTGGCTCATATTATTTTTGGAAGTACAAATTTTCACTACCTTTCTGTAATAACCAGTTTCTTGTGTTAAGTTTCTTAAGCAATAACTGGTACTGGCTAATGAGCTCGTAATTTTGACTTCAATTGGATTTACAATCTCATCTCTATTTGAGAATATTCTTTCTCTTTCTTACTTCCACAACTTTTTATTATCTTATGTCCATCCAGGTGAAATCTATCCTTAATTCTCTGAGTGGGGAAGAATTAGAGACTCTAAAACTCGAATTAGAGCAACTCAAAGAAGCATTTTCCCTAGCAGAGTTTTGTGAAGAAGAGGACGAAGAAAGAAAAGGTAATGTGAAAATTCAGCATTTGAGTAAAGATGATACTGTATATTTATATATAGTGCACTGCTCTTGAAATAAATTATTTGCTCTCTTAATTATATCAGCCTATGCTTTTTTTTTTTTTCCAGTGAGAGTTTTCATGCAGCCTTAGCCCATGTCTCCCCTCATCTTCCATATTGCTTCTCCAACTTAGTTTTTGCCTGTCCTTGCAGTTAAAGAGCTGCTCATCAGATTCTTGTCTCAGTTTGACTATTCATCTCTATGGGCTTTTATATCCCTAGATACTTCACTCATCCCTTACTGACTCCTGTTTGTTTGTTTCTATTTATGTACTGCCTTGCGTCCTAGAAAGTCAAACTGTCTAGCTATATAACATCTCATTAAATGACATCCTATTCTAAGTAAAGATACTGGTCCTGATGAGAAAACGATTCCTGGATATAAGTTTTTAAAGTTGTCCTGAGGTACTGGGAAGGCACTATAGTATGGCGATAAAATGCGGGTTTTAAAGCTAAATTTAGATCCACAATCAAGATCTACCGTTTACTGAGCCATGTGATCTTGGAAAGTCACCTAACATCGAGCTTTTCTTTCCTCACCCATATAAAGAGTATGCTAATTCCTCCTGAGGACTAAATGAAATCTTATGTTTTACTTGTGGCACATAGTAAGCACTCAACACATGGTGGCATAAAGTTGTTTTTATTATTAGGGAAACATAAGTAAATAAATAAAAATCTGCATTTTAAAAGTCTCACTTAGCAGGAAACTCAGAAATTAATGTTGATTTGCTAAAGTTGCTCCATTGTTTCTAAACAAGCCCTGGTATGACAACCCCCAGCTATTTATAAACTTAATTTATTTGTACATGGGGCCATTAACAGTATTTGTTCAAGTTAGTCAACATCTGGCTGTGCATAGTAATCAGAAATCCTACTCTTTAGAGGAGTCTAAGGAGTTTTCTAAACAGATGGATTTGTGTTTATATTTTCTCCCATACTTTTTTTTTTTTTTTTTACCAGTGATCAGGACTCCATAAAGATAGCACTGGATTCACCCCACTTTCCACTCTACCTCAGCCCTCCTCAGTGATTTTGGATGAGAATACAACAGTGATGTTGGTATTTAATTGTCTCTCAGTGAAGCTGTTAAAAAAATGTTAAGACAGTGTAGTTGGCAGAGGGGAAAACAGTAAACTGGTTCTGGTGATGTTGGTCACCTCCGTTTCCTATCAGCGTCCATAGTCCTTGCTCTTGCATCGGAAGGAGTCTTCCTTCTTGGGAAGACACCACCCTCTCTCCAGACTCCCTCCAAAGCAGTAGCACTGTCTCTTCCCATCCTTACACACATTTGTATTCTAGTACAACTACTTTGTGGACTCAGTTCCATGGAGAGTACATGACAGTGATCTCCAGGTTTTCATCACACCTTCGGCAGTAAGGTTTTTGAGCACTCAGTTGTAACTTATATTTGAATGTTTATAAATTATATACATGTACTACTATGAAAATAAATTAGTTACACTGTAAAATGTGCCCTAAAACAGAATTTTTTTTTATGGAATAAGATAAATTTCTATAAAAGGTTCATTACTTTTTTCCCATACTCAGAATTATTTTGTGAATATTTTTGGGTGTATGCATTCCACTATGGATTCATATTCATTGCTTCTGTCAAAATAATTTAGAGCTTAGTTGGGAAAACAAGATGCCTAAGAGTTAGTTTCAGATTTTAGATAGTAAAATATTATTGGGAGTTATTTATATGAGTTACATGTTATAGGTCATAGTTGTATCAGTGAGTTCAGCTTTTTTCTTCTTTTTTTTGGGAGAGGTTTTTTTTTTTTTTTGCTATAGGGCGTGTGTGCTCGCCAGACAGACAGAGACAGAGAGACAGAAAGTGAGAAATCACCCCCCCGGGGGCGGGGATGGCCACGCCGCAATCCCTTCTCCTCCATTCTCCTCTCAGGATCTTGGGCACGCACGCACACGCTCCTGGCGTGAGTTTAAGCCGCCAGGTCCGGGACTCGAACCGTGGTCAACTACATGGGAGTCCAGCGACATAGCCATTACTCTAACTGCTGGTCCCAGTGAGTTCAGCTTTTGTCAAACCATATTATATGTGAGAAAACTAAATCATTTGAATTTTCTGCCACAAACACCGTGAGAGACAGACAAAAAGAGAGTGAATAGAGAGAGAAAAGCCAAGATACATTTTTCTTTTTTTTGTTGATTTTGGAGAAGATGCCAGTTATGAAGTGGTAATTTGCACTGGCAAGCCATAGTCTGGTGACTTAAGAAATACTCATTTAAATTTTCAGTGCCAAAACATTTCTGTGTACAAGAATTCTGACTTTTTTTCTATGTTGAGAAAAGCCTTGGGTTGGGCCTCAAGTCGGGGCATGGGTAGGATTTAGTTCAGTGGAGAGGGAGAGCATTTCCTACCTTTGGGTGTGTGTATTATTATTTTTTTTTTATCTTGACTCACACATTTGCTTGTATGTTTCTCAAGTATAAGTGTTCCACTTTCCCCATCATCTCTCACTAAGCTCACTCCTGACAGCTTCCTTATTGTCTTTCCAACACTGTGGACTCCTTTGTCCTTTTTTTTTTTTACTATCTAGTGTTATCTCTTCCCAAGTCCTGAATCATTGTTTTAATCTTTCTGCCTCTGTTCTTGTTCTCATCTCTAATCCATTCGCCACCCAGCAGCCCAAGTGATGTTTCTTAAATTTAAATTTCATCATGTTTGTCTCTTCTTGAAACCATTTAGTGGTTCCTTACCTCCTCAGTATGAAGCTCGAATTCTTCACCATCATTTATAAGGGGATCCTTCTTTATCTGAATCCTACCCACCTTTCTAGTTTCATTCCACCCCTCTTCTTCCCCTTAGGTTACATTCTCTCAGCCATATGGAAATTCTTATCATGGTTTCTGTTACCACTGTGTTTTTGCACTTGTTTCTCTGCCTGCAACTCTTTCCATTTTCCTGTTAATTTGTACATTTTTCCTGTTCCAGTTTAAATTCCACTCCGTTGGAAGCACATGCACAATGTCCGCTTAGTATTCTGCCTCCCCCATTCTCCATTCATGTTACTGGGACCTAATGCAGAGAGCACAGGATTTGGAAGGGAGTGGGATGGACAAGGACTTCTAATCTTTGCTTTCTGATCTAGAGGAAATTACTTCATCTTTTATATTCCTCATTTCTTTACTTCTAAACTGGGATAATGGCACTTACTTTACAAGTCCATTGAAAGATTCTTTGATATACCTAAGAGGATTCTCTAAGTACTAAGGCACCAAGTTATGTAAATCGCTGCTGCTGTTGTTACTACTGCTACTGTTGTTCTTATTACCTATCATTCCTCTCCTCTTTCTCCTTGCCTTTTCCTCACGGTCCTCAGCCATCTTTCTGGAGTGTTTTATATGGGACTTGGTTTTTTTAGGGGATGAAGATTTTACCAAAGAAATAACAGAGCTGTTTTCCCAGCTGCACATCTCCTCTAAACCAGAGAAACTTGCCAGGGTAAGTTACTACTTGTGAAGTACTTGTATTATTTTACTTGTAAGAATTTAGTGGATTAAGAACATATGATTGTAAATTCCTGGCCGATGTATCACTAAAATCGAGGATATATTCTTGGTATGTGCAGAAGAGGTTTCACACCTCTTTTTGCCTCCTGCTTCCCCGGGTTAGTGTGTTTAACTCACATCTGCCCCCCTCGACACTTGTCCTGTGCCTACCTGTTTTCATTTGGAATGCTTTGCTGGCTAAATGCTTTATTTAGGCCACTGCGTTGGTCATTTAAAGTTGTCAGTGCTGACCAGTCTGCATGATACCAATGGGCAAGATTATGAGGTCTCACTGTTATCAGGACTCTGAGTGACTCAGAGATGATGAGGTGTGGCCTCTGCCCTTAGGGAGCTGGAGGTTGCAATTTCCAAGTCCAGTGAGTGAGTCAGATGATTATTTAGCACTTGGAAATGAGATAGTCCCATAGCCAAGGCCCTGGTCTTTGGATGGGCTTCCTGAGCTGTATTATCACATCTAGAACAGGGGGCTTTAGTCAAAGTTCTTTTTCCAGGGTAGTACCCTCTATATCAGTGCTTGTTTATGGGACACTATTCACTGGGTCATGGGCTTCTTGCTGCCTCTTTACTCACCTCTCCCTAACTAGAAAACATGTCAGGACCAATCAGCAGTATACACACATTGCTTCCTGGCCAGGCAGAGCGGATAGCAGTTGTATAGTCAGTCCAGTTAGCTTGCCCCCACACCCCAGGGTAAAGAATATGATGCTTGGTGTGTTGTTTCACTCTCCCATGTGTAGTGAAATGCTGCATTCTCCAATAAAGCTGAAGATCACTCATAGGATAACTCATCTCCCTCTCGACTGCAGCACTTCAAAGTAGTATTTTTGATCTTACAGTGTTTTTTTGTTTTGAAAATAATATCAGACTTAGAGAAAGTTATAAGAATGATACAAATAACATTTATTGCTTTTTATACAAATTCACTGTGGTAACATTTTGTCTTATTTGCTTAATAATTTGCGCTTGTGCATATGTTCTTTATGTATATATATGCAGATACAGTATAATTTCATTTTATTATTTTTAATGGATGCATAGTAATTGTACACATTTGTGGGGTACAGTTTTGTTTTTAGTACATTAATACTATGTGTAATGATCAAATTGGAATAATTAGCATACCTATCATCTCAAACATTTGTCATTGCTTTGTTGGGAACATTCAAAATCTCTTTAATCTGAAATATACAATAAAGTATTGTCTTTAGACTTTTTTTCTTTATTTATGATAGAGTGCATGCACACAGAGAGAGAGAAAGAGAGAAAGAGAAATGAGTACCCTCCATGGGCTCTAGTTATGCCGCAGTTCCCTTCCTCTAGTTCTCCAGCCCCTCAGAGTTTGGGCATTTGCACACATGCTTGGTATGTTTAAGACTTATCTGGCTGGAGATTTGAACTGCAGAGCCATGTGGTATCCAGCTTCTCTTGAGCAACACATTACTGCTGTACTCCAGAGCCAGCCCTCTACATAAATTATTGTCAGTGTACTATGTAACACCAGAATATGTTCATCTTATCTAACTAATTTTGTATCTGTTTTCCATCATCTTTCTATCCTTGTCTACTCTTTACCATTCCTAGCTGGTAGTAATCACTGTTCTCCTGTCAGCCTAGCCATGGTAGCAGAGGCAGTAGGGACGCTGTGGTGCAATGCTGGAAACCATGTGAGAAGGGTCTAGGTTTGCATACCGTGTCTACCTTAGCATGGCGGGAGTACCTATAGGCTGTGTTCTCATGATCCTGGGTTTTGTTTTTTGTTTTTGTTTTTGTTTTTGAGAGGTTTTTGCTATAGGGCATGTGCGCTCGCCAGACAGACAGACAGAGACAGAGAGACAGCGAGAAATCCCCCCCAGGGGGAGTGGCCACACCGCAATCCCTTCTCCTCCATTCTCCTCTTGGGATCTTGGGCACGCACGCACACTCACCTGGCATGAGTTTTAAGCCACTGGGTCCTGGCCTCCAACCGCGGTCGACTATGTGGGAGTCCAGCGACATAGCCATTACACTAACTGCTGGTCCTCCATGATTCTGATTTTGAGGAGGGATCATGTCATGAAGGCTCTGTTGAGGGTGCCTCCTTCTTTCTCTGTCTATCTCTCTCTCTCTGGCTCTTTCTCAGAAAATAAAGTAAGTAAACTTAAGAAAAATATCACTATTCTACTGTCTACTTTTATGAGGTCATTTTTTAGTGTCTACATGAGTGAGAACATACGGTCTTTCTCTTTCTGTGCCTTGATTATTTCACTTAATGTCCTCCAGGCCCATCTATGTTGCCTGAAACAACATGATTTCATTCTTTGTAATAGCTGAATGGTATTCAATTGTGTGTGTGTATACCATATTTTCTTGATCTATTTGTTGATAGGTTGTTTTTATTTCTTGACTTGTGAAGAGCGCTGCAGTAAGTATTGAAGTGCAGATATCTATATGACATACTTATTTCTTTTCCTTTGGATATCTGCCTAGCTGGAGGATTTCTGAATCATTCAGCAGTTCCATTCTTTTTTTTTTTTTGATCAGCAGTATACACACATTGCTTCCTGGCCAGGCAGAGCGGATAGCAGTTGTATAGTCAGTCCAGTTAGCTTGCCCCCACACCCCAGGGTAAAGAATATGATGCTTGGTGTGTTGTTTCACTCTCCCATGTGTAGTGAAATGCTGCATTCTCCAATAAAGCTGAAGATCACTCATAGGATAACTCATCTCCCTCTCGACTGCAGCACTTCAAAGTAGTATTTTTGATCTTACAGTGTTTTTTTGTTTTGAAAATAATATCAGACTTAGAGAAAGTTATAAGAATGATACAAATAACATTTATTGCTTTTTATACAAATTCACTGTGGTAACATTTTGTCTTATTTGCTTAATAATTTGCGCTTGTGCATATGTTCTTTATGTATATATATATGCAGATACAGTATAATTTCATTTTATTATTTTTAATGGATGCATAGTAATTGTACACATTTGTGGGGTACAGTTTTGTTTTTAGTACATTAATACTATGTGTAATGATCAAATTGGAATAATTAGCATACCTATCATCTCAAACATTTGTCATTGCTTTGTTGGGAACATTCAAAATCTCTTTAATCTGAAATATACAATAAAGTATTGTCTTTAGACTTTTTTTCTTTATTTATGATAGAGTGCATGCACACAGAGAGAGAGAAAGAGAGAAAGAGAAATGAGTACCCTCCATGGGCTCTAGTTATGCCGCAGTTCCCTTCCTCTAGTTCTCCAGCCCCTCAGAGTTTGGGCATTTGCACACATGCTTGGTATGTTTAAGACTTATCTGGCTGGAGATTTGAACTGCAGAGCCATGTGGTATCCAGCTTCTCTTGAGCAACACATTACTGCTGTACTCCAGAGCCAGCCCTCTACATAAATTATTGTCAGTGTACTATGTAACACCAGAATATGTTCATCTTATCTAACTAATTTTGTATCTGTTTTCCATCATCTTTCTATCCTTGTCTACTCTTTACCATTCCTAGCTGGTAGTAATCACTGTTCTCCTGTCAGCCTAGCCATGGTAGCAGAGGCAGTAGGGACGCTGTGGTGCAATGCTGGAAACCATGTGAGAAGGGTCTAGGTTTGCATACCGTGTCTACCTTAGCATGGCGGGAGTACCTATAGGCTGTGTTCTCATGATCCTGGGTTTTGTTTTTTGTTTTTGTTTTTGTTTTTGAGAGGTTTTTGCTATAGGGCATGTGCGCTCGCCAGACAGACAGACAGAGACAGAGAGACAGCGAGAAATCCAGGGGGAGTGGCCACACCGCAATCCCTTCTCCTCCATTCTCCTCTTGGGATCTTGGGCACGCACGCACACTCACCTGGCATGAGTTTTAAGCCACTGGGTCCTGGCCTCCAACCGCGGTCGACTATGTGGGAGTCCAGCGACATAGCCATTACACTAACTGCTGGTCCTCCATGATTCTGATTTTGAGGAGGGATCATGTCATGAAGGCTCTGTTGAGGGTGCCTCCTTCTTTCTCTGTCTATCTCTCTCTCTCTGGCTCTTTCTCAGAAAATAAAGTAAGTAAACTTAAGAAAAATATCACTATTCTTCTGTCTACTTTTATGAGGTCATTTTTTAGTGTCTACATGAGTGAGAACATACGGTCTTTCTCTTTCTGTGCCTTGATTATTTCACTTAATGTCCTCCAGGCCCATCTATGTTGCCTGAAACAACATGATTTCATTCTTTGTAATAGCTGAATGGTATTCAATTGTGTGTGTGTATACCATATTTTCTTGATCTATTTGTTGATAGGTTGTTTTTATTTCTTGACTTGTGAAGAGCGCTGCAGTAAGTATTGAAGTGCAGATATCTATATGACATACTTATTTCTTTTCCTTTGGATATCTGCCTAGCTGGAGGATTTCTGACTCATTCAGCAGTTCCATTCTTTTTTTTTTTTTGCTATAGGGCGCATGTGCTTGCCAGACAGACAGAGAGTGACAGAGAGATAGAAAGTGACAAATCACCCCCCAGGGGGATGGCCACGCCACAATCCCTTCTCCTCCATTCTCCTCTTGGGATCTTGGGCATGCATGCACATGCACCTGGCATGAGTTTAAGCCACCGGGTCTGGGACTCGAACCATGGTTGACATAACCATTATGCTAACCGCTGGTCCCAGGCCTCATTATTTTTTAACTAGAAAAAAAAAGTGTTTGGAAATCCTAAGCTCAGATGTGCCTTTTAATTCTTAAGCCTCCAAATCTCTCTGGAGGGAAGTTCCAGACTGCCTTTGGGGGTGGGTAACATTAATAATTTTGGAAAGGGATAATAAATCACTTTGCATTGGCACAGTAGTTCATGATGATTTCACTTAACTGTATTTTTTATTATGAGAGGTCACTTTGGGTATGCTCTGCCTACTAAAATACCTCCTTCAAATGTATTAAATTTATGGTATCAGCTTT